AATACATAAGACAAATATAAACTAGAAGAGAGAACTACAATAATTTTTCTTTTGAGTTTTCAATTAGTAATTTTTTATTCCAAAATAATCAAATAAAATCCATATTTTGTGCTATATGTGTGTGCTCTAAAGATTTAAATTATCTTAGTATGATAAAAATGGGATATTTAATTAATCATTATAAAGACACATTTCCTTTAAAATGCCTACTATCCAATATCTTTATTCAAAATTTGAAATTAACATGGTAAGTTGGTATTAAAACTTCTCAAAAGCTAATCTTTTATTCTTTCATCACTAAATCTGTAATTTTTTACAAAGGAAAAGAAAGATAATTCTTTTTAAATTATGGCCATCCTACTTGTAATAATGGCATTAACTTTCTGCTTCAGATCTAGACTTACTGTCTTCACGGCTAAGAGATAATAAAAACTCTAAGATGTTTATGATCACATAATTACAGGATTCCAAAGTGGGAAGAGGGCCAATTATGCAGGACAACTTCTACCTTTCCTAGATGAAGGTATATAAACAAACTGTGTATGTAAGAGTTAATTTAGGTTATACTTAAAAGTATTTCTGTCTCGGCTTTTGGATTCTATGTCATATTTTAAATTTTACATGTTCCCAGAAAGCTCAGTTATTTAGCAAGCTATTTGCTCATTTCTGAACTGGTTCTCTTCTCCCTTCTTGGAGAAATAAGCCTGTAGATGACATTAGTCTCTTTTCTTCATCCTGGGGAAAATATTTTTTTAGATTAAATGAAAAACTACAAGCATTTCTTGAACATAAAACAAAAGGATATGGAGAAGAAAGAGGAAGTGGAAGAAAAAGGAGAAAGGTGTAGGGGGTCATAGTTCTTTTACAAGAAAGCAAAGTCACTGTATTTATTAACTAAATCTTTTGAATGCATATTTAAACACAGTTTGTACTTAGTTTTGAGAATCCACTGAGTAGAATCTACTGAGTAAAGTAGAATAGTCATTAGAACCCAGAGAGAAGGACAACTATGCTCTAAGTTACTGGGACAAGCAGCTAGAAAATTTGTATTTGGCAGAGGGAATGAAATAAAATGGCATAAGAAATAAGATTTAAAAATTAGCTGCTTTGACATTAAAGATAATAGATAATGCTTCCTCTGACTCAACACACTTCTAAGTGTTTTATTTATATGCTGATTTATTTAATCTTTGTAACAACTCTATGAAGGGGAGCTCCTAGAAGTGAAGTAGGTTAAATTTTATTTAATTTAATCCAGCTCTTGAACAAGTCTGATGGAACATGAATATTTATATTTATACTTATTTAATATTTTTTATTTTTAAAAAAGCTAACTTCAAATTTCTTAGAATTAAAAAAAAGAAGAGGCACAGTTGGATATCAAAACATAAAACTCAGATACCAAAAATATGCATCATGGGTGAAGGAACAGTCATCAAAATCCAGTAAAATTTCATGCGTGCTTTAGATATTATTTTTCAAACTTTCTATTTATTGCTTTTTCCACAATATCCTCCATATGCTTCCTTGCAGTGATATAGAAAAAAATTTCTCTGATGACAGTGCTTAGCTATATCATAGAACTTAGACTTATTCTCAAGAATAAACTGTAGGCAAGTGTTTTTATTTTTACTGTGCATGATGCAACCATATCATCCAGGAATCTTGCATTGCTGAGAAAATACAAAACCCAAATGTGCAAACGATCAATTATACTTTCTAAGTAGAAACTTAATGTGTTTCAAAGAGTTCTTCAATATCTACTTAAACACTTCTAAGAAAGTAAAGTTATTTACTTGTTTTTCTTGATTGATTTACTTCAATTTCTCTCAAATCGCTATACCTATATAATCAGCAGAATCTCACTTCACACTCAATAGAATGGATACACTTGGAGTTTTTGGATTTTCTAGGCTAGTTTACTCTTGGTCTAACAATTGTTGAATCAATAGATTGATACTTCAATAAAAACAATTAACACTAGTTTTATGTGTTAGGTCACTGTTACAAGTAAATCAAACCTAAATACAATTTTGCGGAAGGGGGTAAATCAGAAAAAGTTTAAAGATTAGCTTTAAAAAGAAGAAAAAACAGAGGATGCAGGAAATTGTATACACCTTTATCTATGGATTATTAACATGATACTTGAATAATAAAGTACTCTTAGAATTATCCCTAAATTAGGGTCACTGCGCAGCATATGGATGTTCTATTTCTGAAGCCATTGCTGAACCACAATTCTGATTGTATGACAGAGGACTTGTCATTTTAATTTTTAACATCGAAGTCTATATAAGTCAAATACATTATCTCATTTTAATCTCATATTTACATTGTACATTAAAAATTATTCCTCTTCCTCCTCCTTCTCTGCTGACACTTCGTTCATTTTTTTTTTTTTCCTGAACACTTGGGTTCCAAAGCCATTAGGTAGGTACAAATAAGGTTGGCATCTACACCTGGTTGGATGAAGGGTGGCTATGGTGGCCCATATCAGAGTCCAGGCAAGGTAGAAAGATGTTCCCAAACATCAGAAAGATGTCTGAGTGAGGGAAAAGGGCTTCCATGCAGTGGGCAGTCTGGTTCAAGTTGTATGAAGACAACAGATTAGGGGGAATGTCAATACCGAGACCAGAGTCCGTAAGATAGTCAGTGTGTGAGTAGGTTGACGAGAGTGTCCATTCCAGAGGGTAGACTGACATGGGGTTTCTGAGCCTGATGTGTTAATAAAAACATCTTCACAAGGAACAGGATAATATGACAATGGCAAATAACTAGCAATGAACAACTGATCAAATAGGTATATATATTAAGGTTAATGGAAGAAAGTGTCTCATCGGATTTGCAAACACTGAACGAAAAAGCCTAGAATACATCTCCTAGTGTTGAAATTGAATACCCATAGTTTCAGTAAATAAGAATAGACATGTAAATAAATAAAAATTCAAATTTGCGCATTTGTGTAAGTGCATACATAAATATATTCCTTAGCTTTGTCTACTCAGAGAGCCTTGAAGTAGTGGCAAGCCAGTACAAATGAGCACATCTAGCAAATTTAACTTAGTTTCTAAATACCTGTAGTCTCAGAACCATGGTAGATTCAAGGCTGGAAAAGGGAAAAGACAAGATGAGCCTGGACCAAATTATTGAGTCAGAAAGTAAAAATATGGTGGAAGAACCAGGAGCAGGTTAAAAGGAAATAGGATTGAGTTGTAAAGAACTAGAGAAATTTGGGACAATTTGTATATAGAAATAAAAACTGAGAATAATGTATTAATTCCTTGAATAAAATATAAACCCATGCATTCATACCTATGGTTAATAAATACATTGAAAGTGTCATGAGAACAGTTATGGCTACCATTTCAAAGAATAGATTCACAAATGGAATTTCTCACAGACTCTGTCTTAGTGACCAAAGTTCAGATCACCAATAACGAGACCACCCAAATCCTGTACCACTGAGAAGGAATGGAGTGAAAACAGTCGCACTTATGTGATGTTCCTGATCAAGGTGAGTAACCCTAATCTTGTGAGAAAACGTCATAAAACCAATGGAGATACGGTCCACAAAATAACTGTCACTTCTTAATCCTCAAGCTGATGGAAATAAAACAAGGCGTGAGACACTGTGTCAGAATTAGAACGCCCACCGGGACACGACAACGCATCACAATTCATGACTGTGAACCTGACGTTTTTGCTGGTATCTAGCACCATGGAGACGTCCTGTGAATCATCTCTGATAGCCGTCTCTGATAACTGGACAATAGTAGTTCATCGACGCCCACTTTCTAGTTCACGCGCACTAGAGTCTCAGAATAAGAGGGCAGCAGGTCAGCTCCTTATTCCGAATGGTTCAGAAAAGTTATCTTTTTAGTTCTTTAGTTTCCCCTCCTCCTCTCCCCTCCCTCACCCTCCACCCGGCAGCCCCTCCACTCCCTCCACCCCCTCCACGTGCGGTATTTGGCTTCACTGTGGTCACGTGACCGGCTGTCCTCAACCACCCTGCGCTGACTTCCAAGAGACGACATGCACAGAAGGGCGAATTCTGATGAGCCCGGAAAAAAAATACCACAACATCTGTCTGCAAGCCACGGGCCTGAGAGCTTAAGAGGAGAGATGGGGAGTGCTAGAAAGGGAGAACGAATACCGGGCAGCAAAGGGAAGACACAGAGCCCAGAGGCCTGGGTTAAATGCTGAGGCCTGGTATAAATGGAGGAAAACGGGATTACAAGTTCTCACGAGATCTAGAGAAACTGAGCCGAGGATCTTGGCGGAGAAGAGGGGAGATGAAGCAAAGGAGGACAACGCCTGGCGCCCTGAGCGCCAAAGCAGGGTGACGAGAGGGCCACGGGGCTGACTAGGAAATCCCGCGAGGTTCAGGCGGAGACAGCACACAGTCGCAGGGTAGACATCACAGGGGCACAGGACGCACGGGTGTGAGAGCCGGGGAGGGAAGGCCTCTTACGTGCTGACATGCGTGCGTGATGACGTGAGAACGTCTCAGTCCTTGGCGTGCACCCCGCCGACCCGTGGCCGCCATCGC